CGCACAAATTCCGCACTAGTCTATCTTCTTTACTTCACATTAGAAAGACAAAGATATAGACTCTGAACTAGCAGCCAATTCATCTCAGTTCAGGAATAAAAAACAGACCTATACTGTTGGGTTTTGGGTGAACAGCATTAACTGCTCCGATGCTTGCTACTTGTTGCGTGCAGTCTCAATTAGGTTTAACTGTGTATATTATTATTCTGTTTTAAGTTGCGTTTAAATTAAATATCAAATATTATTGAGCATTAAAATTCTAATATAATTGTTCGTTTACCATTCCTCCATATGCTAATTAGTTTAAAAAAGTACAAAATTATAAATATAAAATTGAATTATAAAAAAACATGAATTATTATATAAATGCATATTAGTCATAAAATTGTCATATCTTTATGTTTATTTTTATGTTTTACATTTGTGAAAATAATATTCGCTTTTCGAATTTTCAGTTTGTCGTTACATCTAAAGAGAGAGAGAGAGAGAGCATTGCATCTAAAGTCATTACATCTAAGAGAAGAGCTGTTATAATACTATTTCCAGTTTGTCATTACATCTAGAGAGAGAGAGAGAGAGCATTACATCTAAGAGAGCATTGCATCTAAGTCATTACATCTAAGAGCTGTTATATAATACCATTTTTATGAAAGGTAAGACTTTTTCTACTACATATTTGCTTAGTCGCAAAGGTGCATTTTGATCTGTTTTCTATTTGTGCGCATGATCTGATCCAGGCAAATTTACTAGAGCTACATTGCGTTTTTTAATGTCGAATGAGCTGGCTGTGCAGTATTCCTGGTCTGGTCAAAGAAGAACTATTCAATTTAAAAGTACCCTAATTTCTCAACTTATTGTCGGTGTGTAATAAGTATTTTATTTTTTAGTATGTATTTTGACCAAAGTACCAAATCTCTATATTGAACTTTTTTAAAAATATTTTATATTTACTTACAAAATTCTTTAAATTGTTCCAGAAACCGTTTCAAAAGTGAAAAATGCATCTAGAAGCGACATAGAAATATTTATAAAGAAGTGGCTGCAGCACGCTAGCGACCGAATAAAAAATAAGAAATAAATTTTCATAATTCCATAATATATACATATCTACTTTAGGCCTGATTGAACCAACGTTATTTTTAAGCGTTATTTTAAGCTTTAAACGAGACTTTAATGTATTTTTATTTAGAAAGAAAGAGGAAGATTGATACATTATATATATTTAATATTATATATTTAAGTCTCTTGTACGTATGTATGTGAACGTATGAGATACGAATATATTTGGTGTATAATTTACGTCACCGCGCGAAAGCGATTAATATAATATATACAGACGATTGTGCGTTCATCATTTTTCTTCGATTTTTCACAAATTCTAAAATTTGGTTTGATACACTCCGGCGAGTATAACAATATATGTTACAATATATGTTACAATATCATTTATCATTTAATAAAATATATTTTGTCATTTCATTACAAAATTGTATTTTGTGCATTTAGAGCATTCCAATAATCCTAATTTATCCCATATTCGGATCCCAGAAAATGAATAATAATAGAGTTCTATTATAATTCTATTAGAGTATTAGCTAAAAATTATTTTGAATTCATAGCGAATTCTTATAGACTCAAAAAGGAATCCTTTTCGAATCTGAAAAAGAACTCACAAATGGTGACATAAAAGTGAAGTCTTTTGGAATACTTACGAATACTTTTCGAACAGAAATGGGACGAAAAAGGAATTCATTTTATAAATCGGGGATCAAAAAAGAATTCTTTTCGAATTCTCTGTGCTATCTGGGCAGTAAACAAAGAACAAATGTAAAGTACTGGAGGTGCCTCCTAAGCCGAAAGGCAAGGAGTACAATAAATAAATAATAATAAATATTAAATAAATTATAACAAATTGTAATATTACAAAGACCTTTGAATAAGAAATATTAACAAATATTTTACCTTATATAAAAATTAATAGTTTTTATCAAAAATTTTTTTAAAATTAATAATTTATTAATTATTTATTATTAAACATCGATTAAATTATGTAAATTGAAATTTGCACTTAATCTTTTAATGATATAATAAATCAAATATAAAAATTAACAAACAGCTATTTAAATTGTAATCATATTTGATAATAAATTAATTAATAAGTTTATAATTTATAAAAAATTTTTATTAAAATATATTAATTTTTATATACGAGAAAATATTTGTTGATGTTTCTTTTTATTCAAATGAAGATCTTTATAATATTACATTTTATTATCTTTTATTTGATATATATACAAATTTTATATAAAAAAATTTATATATATTTTTTTTTCAGTTTTGTAATTTTAAAAGATATAAATATGTAATACATAAATTAATATTTATATATTTGTATATTTATTGATTTTAATTTGGAAACAATTTAGTTTCAAGTGAATAAATTCTTTTACAATATATGCTAATTGATTTTATCAGGATTCTTTAAATTTATTAGATTATATTATTTTTTTATATGTTTTCATGATAAATAAAGCATTGTTTATTTCATAATATGTATACTATTTTTATAAATAATTTATTAAAATTTTTAAATATGTAATAATATTTATTTAAAGAAAATTAAAATAATTCTTATTTTAAAGCTTAATAATATTATAAAACTTATATATTGTATTACTTAATTTATATTAATTATTATTATTGAGAAAGGAGTCATAAACTAAAATATTGCAATAAAATTCAATATTAAATTCTATAGAATCAATTTAATTTTGATTTGATATAATAACAAATGTTTCATTTAAATATGTATAACGTGTGTGAAGTAAATATGCAATTATATAATATGTAAATTATATTATACAAAATAAGTATATAAATACTATATTAAATAATGAAAAGTATAATTGAAATCTTTCACAGGTTCTGATACAAATATATTTCAACTATTCAAATAGAAGTAATAGAGCTCTATACATTTCGATTTATTTCACATTCTTTTCAATAGTTCAAATTAAAAACAAAGTAGCTAAGTTTTTGATGTTATTTTTATATTTTAATATTGAATTTATTTTTCGTTTGATGTTCTACAACTTTTTTATTATAATAAATTTACAATATCATGTTTTGTTTTATACATCTATGTTATATATTATAATTTTATGCGATAGTATATTTATAATTTATTTATTTTTATGTCTATTGTGCTTACTTAATCATACTTATAATAATTTTATTATTATTATTATTATATACACAGTTATATATACAGCGTAATCAACATTTTTGTTGCATCGTACCAAATGTAAAAGTATTATAATACTTTTTTTTACAATTTAATTTATTAAGAAGAAATGTCTAGATTTCTATTTTCATTTATTGTAATGTACTATATAGCATGAGATATTTATTAATTTATATACTTGAGTTATCAATTTGTAAAAAATTATATGCTATATGAAAAGTTATCATATATAAAAAAATTGAATGATTTTAAGCAAATGCTAATTATGTATTATATTTATTTTTTATAAATGAAAATTTATAACTTTTACAAGTAAAAGTTTTATATTTTATAGATTTGAAGATTAAAAATTTCATTTTTTTTAAAATCAAACTCTTAAAGTGAATCTTACTTTTTTATATAATTTGATTTTGTAATATTTAAGCAATTATAAGGATAAAATAAGTAAAAATTGAATAATTTACTTTATTACCTATAGTTTGTATATTTTATTTTAAAAAAATATAATTGCAGAATTTTGATTTAAAAATTTTTTTGAAATGTTTATGTTATCTTGCAACTGTGTTGACATTTTGTGGATTTTTCTGTGCAATTACATTGTAGCAATGTCTTTGTAATGTTTTATTGTAATTTGCAATATTGCAATGAAACATTACAGAGATATTGCTACAATGTAATTACAATGATTTATATTGTATAGAGGTTTTCTCGTTTTTAAGATCAAAGCTATAATAATATTTTTAACTTACCCCAAAACGTAAGTCTAGCTATCTATGGTATTCTGTTCCGCCTACCATGCGATATGGTAGGAGATAACGATATAATTTGTATTGATGAGAACTTGCCATTTTCCAATTTAAATTATATATATATATATATATGTATATATATTATATATATATGCAGTATCAATTGTAATAAATAAATAGCGCGCGCGTAGCGCGCGCCTGTATTGTTCTAGTAATTAAAATTAAACGTTTTAAAAATGGCTGGCGACTTGTCGGAACGTGAAAGAATCACTATCCTCATGATGCGTGGATGGGGTGATAACGAAAGATCGTTCTCTGATGTCGTTCGATTATTTAATGACACGTATCCGAACCGTCGAATTAATAAGTCCACTGTGTTAAAAACAATAGAACGTTTTAGACAAACTGGTAGCGTAAGAAATCGCTCTAAGTCAGGAAGACCATTGTCTGCAACCAACGAAGAAAAACAACTTGATGTTCTGCAGACATTTATTGAAGATCCCAATTCTAGTGTTCAGAGAGTCGCTCAAACTCACGATATTGCTCCCATGTCGGTTTGGAGAATTTTAAAGAAGAACAAGTTCCATCCATATAAATTGCAATACGTTCAAGAATTGCAAAACGGAGATGAGGAGCGTCGTATACATTTCTGTGAAAGAATGATGGCACTAATAGATGTCCGGTCCATCTTCCCTTATCAAATTGTTTTCACAGACGAGGCAACTTTTACCTTAACGGGAGAAGTTAATAATCAAAATTTTCGTTTCTGGTCAGATGAGAATCCGAATTGGGTGCGGGAAACTCACACACAACATCCACAAAAAATAAATGTATGGTGCGGAATAATAGATGGCTATTTAATAGGGCCGTTTTTTTTTTGAAGAATATTTGAACGCTCAAAGGTATGAGAGATTACTTGTTGATCAAATAATTCCAGCCATACAGAATACTTTTCCAAATAATTTCCAAGAAATATGGTTTCAGCATGATGGAGCTCCTGCTCATTTTGGTGCAGGACCACGTCGTATTTTAAATGAGACTTTTCCGCTACGGTGGATAGGAAGAAGGAACGGAAATGAGGGAGGAGAGGATTGGCCACCTCGGTCACCAGATCTAACTCCTCTTGATTATTATCTATGGGGATATCTGAAGAGTAAGGTTTACAGAACAAAACCTAAAACCATTCACGAATTGATACAGCGAATAAGGGATGAAATGGCTTTGATACCTTTTGAAACGAATCGTAAAGTCATTTCTACATTCTACCAAAGATTAGCATATTGTCAGGAAGTAAATGGCAGCCACTTTCAGCATTTACTTTAACACATTGAAACACATTTGCAATCGTTTGGTGCAACCTAACCTGATCTCTGTATACACGCACCGCACGCACGCACACGCACACATTTCGAACAATTATTATGATAAATGAGCATCCACAAATTTATTTACTGTTTACTATGTCGATTGCTTTCCAGGTCTTTAAATGCTCGATTGTAATTTGGTTGGGTCTTTGCTTTTGCTGACTGGATCCACGACCGATCTTGCCTTAGTTAGCTGGATCACACACACAACAGATGCAAATCCGAGCGAGTAACCTCCATGTAGTACACCTTGGATAATGTTAATACCGGCGCTACTCTATCATTCAACCCTCATAACTCGCAAAGTACTTAATAAAAATGAACATTATTATAGTGTTTTGGAAAGCTCTTGAATTAAGCTATAAGAATATGCAATCAAATGTAGGGGGTGTCATTTAAAAAAGTCAATGTGACCTTGACCTGACCTTGACGACGCCATCCAAGGTCAAACTGATAGAATCAGTATATAGATCTTCTTAAACCCTACAACTTTTGTTGGAAACACTTTTCTGTAAAACGTATATTTTCCGAGATATTTAGGGGTTTCCACACTTTTGGTAGACCCTGTATATTGCAACTTATACGATCCCTTGGGAATCGTAATTTCCGCGTCGTCTTTGCCAAAGTAAAATTTATTATTTAAGGAATTCACATTCGGTATCGTGTGATAAGTCTCAAAATCAGTTAGACCGAGTTCGTATTCATCGTCACCCATCTACGGTGGGAAAATTTGCCGCGAGAACGCTACTCTTCCCACTCAACGTGAATGTCATAGACATGTCGGCAAAACTGTTTAACGAATACTGAGTTAAATAGCACAATATCTGTTTTTAAATTTGCATGCATGGACCGTTTGAAGAAACTGCAAGCACAATTGTCCAGATGCTCTGATCGTAAGTTTGAACAGGAGTGTAATTGTACTGTATCTTCGTTATGTTTCATCCGAAATATCGCATCAGTTCATTCGGTGGTCGAAGATTGCC